TCCTCCTGGAGCTTCTGATGGCTGCGTCTTTTTCCTCCGTGGCTCCCCTTAAGGCTTCCATCTCTGCTGGCGGCCCTTTCGAAGACTCGCCCGGCGCCTCGGACTTAATTGCCTCCTGAGAGCCGGCTGCCTCGCAAGTCCGCGACGATGCGGCGGGCGGCTGTGGTGACGTGAGGTCGGCTGGACCCAAAAGAACCTCCTTGGCATTGCAGAGCTGCTCTAGGCCGAGCTGCATCTGTGCCAGTCTCTTCCCCAGGAGCCGGAGTTGGGTCGCATCCCCTTGAGAACGGGGGAACGGGGCGGCAGAGTGCATCTGTCGCCGAGACTTCTCCTCGCTGTCCACTAAGGCCCGTGCCTCGAGTGGTGGGAGTTCTTTCTGAAGTTGGGATGACTCCCGCTGCAGATGGTGCACCTCGGTGAGCACCAGCCGCTGCCACGCCTCCAGCACGTTGACCTGCCGCTTCAACGTGTCCCGTTCCCGGAGAAGCTCCTCCAACTGATTCGCGTCCACGCCCCGAACCTCAGGGCCAGCGTCGGACGTTTGCCGGATGGTCAGTAAAGTCTGACATTTCTGGCTCAAGGCACCGATTTCAATGTCTTTGGCTCGGACGAGGCGTGATAAGTGCCGGATCGCTTCTCGAAACATGTCCTCACCGCCGCCGTCAGATCGAGGGCGCCGTGTCTGATTTTCGCCTCGCAGCTTCCCGAGCTCTGCTTCTTTGGCCACCAGCAGGTCCATCATTGTGTGATACGCCCTTTTCAGGTGGCTGTTTTCCCTCACCTTCTCGTCGAAAACAGCCAACACTCGTTCCCCTTCCAAAGCATAGGCTTGCAGTTGCTGCTGGAGGCCCCCCGCATCCTGGACGGAGGCAGCCGAAGCTAGGCCAGTGGGAAGGCCCTGGCTCTCCCAGTCTTGCGCCTGGATCGTCTGAGTTCGTGGCCCGGTGTCATCTTCGTCCGGCTCATCAAGCCGCTCGGTCAGAGGGATCGTCTTTTCGGTCCCAAGTTTCATCTCCCTTTCTGCCGCTTCTCTCCCTTTTCCTAAAGGTTCGGTTTCAGCTTTGGCCCCATCATGCTTTTCACTTCCGTTTGGCCGACGAAGACCCGCCGCTCTCGCTCCTTGACAAATCTCAGCAGGTTTTGTCTGCACGGGCTGGGTCTTCTCGGGCGACGGGGTTTGGATGTGTTCTGTGGTGTTCTGCGCGGTCTCGCTTTCCTCCTCCTCGGCTGAAGAGAGCTGCGCGCGTTTTCTAGGCATGGGCTCGGACGCCTCCTTAAGATCGCCCACTTGCCGTTTCTGCTCTTGGCAAGATGGAAGGCGTTGTGCCTTCCTCTGCTTTTGCTCTTCAGTGGTCCTTGGAGGATGCTGGATTTCCTCCTCCAGGTGACCTTCGATCCCTTTCAGTTGAGACCCCTCAGATTCTAGTTGTGTCCCGGCGTCGAGGGTGTTCGGGTCAACCACAGGAGCGGCTCGAGCCCGTTGTCTCCGTGGCTCCAGTTCTTCCCTCGGGTGACTGCCTTCTTCTTGCAGGGAGGCGAGCTCCGTGTCTCCTTCCTCGAGGGTTTCCTGCAGAGTTGCGGTGTCTCTCCGAGCTGGAGCTGCCGGTCTCTCCTTCTCGGGTGGTCCGGTCGCCTGAATGGCTTCCGTCTCCGTTCTCCCCGAGTCGGGGAAGTCTGGCAGCTTTTGCGTCCCCTTCCTCAGCACACCTCTGGTGAAGTCAGAGAGGTGTGCGGGGAGGGGAAGCCACGCTGCCGCCCACTCGCCCCAGGGAATGGCCTAAGCCGGAGCCGAGGCCGAGGCCGAGGCCGCCAAACCAGGAGGCCATCGCTGCGGGTCACAGCACTGACCTGGTGTGCTCTCGCGAAGAGCGTCCAGCCCAGTCGGACAGTCCCGCCAAGTGTCAGGGCCCCGGTGGCTGCGCGAGGCTAAGAGTCAAATCACAGCCAGGCG